TTATTTGTATGCTTTGAATTTATAATACCAGAGATATTGAATTTTAATTGTTTTAAATATTCAAATAGAATTAATAATTATTTCTTATTTCTAAAAATCAAACTTTTATTTTTAATATTTTATTATTACATGGGAGTCCCATTAGTATACATAAGCCACCAATGCAAGTTTGTGGGGCCCATGAGAGCTCACCTAGTGGCACGCCGCAACCCCTTCTAGTTTCTAATTTGTGTGCTTAAGCAAGTTGGCTTGAGGCTTAAGAAATGTTTGATTCTATGGAGATTTTGAAATCAAACATGGAAAGAAACAAGAGCCTTGTGCATGAAATTGAAATGTACAATATTATAATTGATTATTTTCATAATTAAATTATTGATGGGAAATTGCTTTAGGAAATAGGAGATAAGAGTTATAGCACTTTCCATAGGATCTTGATAGCTAATCTATGGAACGAGTAAGTCACATCTCTCCCCCTACAAATCACCCAAGATCAATGGTGCAAATTCAATCTTCCTAATATGGCAAATCATATGAAAACCCTAAAAAGCCCTAGCCTCATTGAAACACTAGAAAAAGAGGTGCCCTCTACCCACATTATCTCTCTTCTCTATCTCATATTTATCTTAGAGGGGCACGCCCCACATAGAAGTATCTCTTTCTCATCTCATAGGGGGCACACCCCAAGTAGTGTCTCTCTCCGAAGAGGCACACCCCACCTAGCCTAGCCTTGGTGCTTATCTTCTCTCTCTCTCCCATCTCTCTCTCTCATGGCCTATGGGTTAAGGGTTTAGTGTTGAGAAGCACATCACTCTCATTTAGGTGCTTAAGGGGTTAACAACTTAGTTTGAAATCTAAGCCTTGTGATAAGAGTTCCTGTTCTATTTATGTTTGACCCATATGTTTTTCTATCTTGAAGATTGAGGTTGATTATTGATATCGCACCATTAGAAGTGGTGACTCGGTGTAAGGTATACTAAACGCGGTTGAGGTAATTTCTGTCATTCTATTTCTTGTTTGTTGTTATACTTATTGCTTTTGTCTTTTGTTATTGTCAAGCTTAGTATTATGTTTCTGATTGATTAATGAAATAGTGGTTTTAGTAGCATCAAGTTTTAGATCCAAGTTTTATTTTCTTTATTTCTTTCAAGTCAATTTATTGTAATGAACTATTTATAAGTAATTTAACCCGAAAAAAAAAGAAAAAAAGAAAAAAAAAAATACATACACCGAGCTAGATCACATGAGTCCAACTTTCATGTCCTAGCAGAGATGAGGCAAAATTGCAACCATTTGCATAGTTAAGGCTTATAGGCCATGGGTCTAGACCAAAATTAGGGAGTTTAAGGGCCTCCTTGCCTTCGACTGCCTTGTCTCTTTGTCTGCCACTTGGAACCCTCATACTCTCGAACACTTTGGTCTTGGAAAAAGGATGAACAACGAGCCTTTTGACTTCTAGCTATCATCTGCCATGGTTATCGTGGTGAGGCGTTGCCTTGCACATTTGGTGCGTCTTCTGCCAGGCTTCTAGTCCCATACTGTTGACAGTAGGGGTCAAGGCTGCAATTTTCACAGATTGCTTACTGTTTCACTGTTGAAAAGATATCAGTTTTATTATCCTGGGGCAATAGCCATGCCTCTATGTGCACTTGCCTAGGTTCGACGCATATCGGCCGTGCATCCACCAAGGTTATCCATAACAGGTGGGTGGTCCCTGCTGGTTAAAGGCAGCAGCCTGTGCCCACCTGCTGCAGTTATGCCATAGTCATTGTTGACTCATGAATTTTGGCTTTTTTTTCATGATTGGTTCACATATACGACTTCTGTAGAGCCGTAGAAGCTTACTCATGGTCACTGAAGCAGAATACCCCATACCCATTTCTTTTTCAATTTTTTATAATTCCAGGAGTTCACCACCAAGGAAATAAAACTGTAAGTCCTTACATCAAAGATCATGATTACCCTATAATTTTCATATAGCAAAGCTCCTATCCTCTTCGCTGCCATTGACCTTCTCAGACCACTGATAACATTTCACAGCCTCCAGTAAAACGACACAAGGCAAACCTTGTGATCCTCTTGGATTTGATTATCCAAATAGTTGAATCATCCCCAACAAAATGAGGAAAATTTAACTTGGCTGAGCAGAAGAAACATGGGGATATGATTGGTTAGGGAAACGATAGCGGATCTGTCTGTTGTATACTGGACATGATCCTCCAATTGAACATGATTTAAGGTGGTATTCATATGATGGGGTTTGGGATTTAAAACAGTATTCAAGGAACACATCTCTGATAAGAGTCGGTCTGATTTGCCATGGTGCAAGATTGCTCCTCAGCTTTTTCCTCGACTTGAATTAGACCTTGCTTTATGTCCTTGATCCTCAAATGGGCCACCTTACCTCTTGTTTCTACTCTCTAACCTATTATTGTGCTCTTTTTTTCAGCTCTTTTTTTCCTACTTGGAATGGGGAATGGGGAAGAAAAAGGAGGAGACCTAAAAGAAGGGAATGAGAAAGAAAAATAAAAGGGAGGAGGATGGATAAGATAAAAATTAGAGGTATAAGCTTACTTTAGGACCACATTTGTGTTAGTATTTTTTGGTTTTGAAAATACTTATATATATTTCAAAACAACCCTATAGTTTATTCTTTCCCAAATTAGGTTGCATTTGGTTTTATTGTTCTTTCCTAAATTGTTTTGTAGAGAGAGAAAGAAGTGGGTTTGAGTCCCACATTAAAGATGAGAGATGAGAGAGTATGTTGAGTCATATTTAAGTGCACACATTCCCATGCAATATACTCTAAGTACAGAAGAGAGAGAAAATACATGTACAAAGCACGCGAAATGTGAAACGCGAGAGGGCAACGGGGGCAAGGGCTCGTGGCTAGTTATCTTCTTGTAGGACTTGTAGCTATTGGGTGATGCATGTAACCACTACAACACTAAATGAGTATCTTTTTGTGGGCCCGATTCATAGGGGGATCCAATGGTCATCTAGCCGTTGATATGCGTGGGATATCCAACAGTCATCTAGCCATTGATAGGATGGTGGTTTGTAACAGCAACCATCAAGTGCATGTAATTTGTACTTGTTGGGTGATGCATGTAACCACCACAACACTAAATGGGCAACCTCTTGAGGCTCTATAGCAATGGCCCTCCTATCCATAGGATTTTAGATATTTAGAACAATTTTCTAACCTCTTTTAAGAAACCATTCTCTGCAATTCGAACAACCAAACCAGTGGGCTAACTCATGTAACTTGTAGCTGTTGGGGTGCATGTAACTCATGTAACTTGTAGATGTTGGGGTGCATGTAACTTGTAGTTGTTGGGTGATGCATGTAACAACTACACCACTAAATGGGTAAGCTCCAGGCGCTCTATAACAAGAGCCATTCTACCCATACGATTTTAGATACTTGGAACAATAATTAACCTCTCAAGAGACCATTCTCTGCAATTCCCGCAGGCAAACCAGTGGATTAACTATCTCTCTCACCACTTGATTTTGTCTCTTTCTCTCTTTAATGCAAGAAGGCTATGGTATCTATTGTGTGGGTTTCAAGCTCGAGTATATAGAGCTTAAGAACATTAAAAATAGTTCTCTGTTTTCCTGTATACCGAAGACGAATTGTCCTTCTTATGCACATCAAATACTATATTAAAACGGAACAACTATCGTCTTAAGTTAATGCTCCTGCATGCCCGAAAACAAGAAAACTTCGAGTTCTTTATTTTCGAAATTGTATCATTTTTTGCCCCCATCTCACCCAACCAATCCAACAATTTGTCATTCCTAATGTGCTAGGATCAAATTAAGGTGAGACAAAGCATAAGTGGCTTAACCCATCCCAAGGGTTCTTATACGAAGTAATTATGGACCCCAAAAATAGAATAAAAAGGTCCAAACAAGGCCTAGTTAGGAGAAAAAGTAGAGCCACACCTCAAATTTTACCATAATCATATGTGAAAACTTTTAAATCAATAATTTCAATCTTGACAGTTATAAATCTGAAAAAAAATATTTGATTTCTAAACTCTAAAAATAATGCATCTTGTAACATAGATGTTCACTTATCTTCAATTTTTGGAGCGTCAATTTCACACTTCGGAGTAGAGAAACAAATTTGTCCACTGGCATTATTTCACAGGCAATGGCTACTTTGAGGGGATGGCGTTTTTACTATAATGAGTAAAAGATAGGCAAGAGAGAGAAACAAATTCCAAACCACTTTTGAAATAGGCATGATGTAATTCTCCTCATGACCAACTCTACCTCCAACCTTTCCCCTAATAATCCCTAAAACTCTCTAAAAATGGAACTCCCAAATTCACCCAATACTATTATGATCTTAATGGCATGCCTAACAAATTATGGTACAGAATAAAAGTGTATTAAAGAGAAAAAAAACATCAACCTACTCAATATGGCTCAAGACAGAAACATAAGCATAATCCAGGAGTTTAACATCTATGCTTTACAGCAGCCCAAGCACTAGCTTTCAGTAAAGATCCTTATTGATAGTTTAGATGTGAAAATAGGTGGCTGACAGTGTCATTTGTTAAGTACAAGGTTAAAATCAAAAATTTTAAACCATGTGACGTACTTTGAGCCAACAGATATATCCTACGGCAAAGCATTCAAGCATCAAAGATGAGATTTGATAATTAAATACGAATGGGGGATTTCCAAGAGATGGAGTTGGAATGCTCCGAATTTGGCTCTAGAGTAAATCCTCTCCATGCGATCAAAAATTTCACCTGGTTTGTAAATGGAAAACCGGCTTGTCTGTACACAGTCATGGCTAGTATTTTTTATTCCCCATAAAATTCCACCAATTTAGATCTGAGAATGCTGAAATTTACTTACAACATGGAGAAGAATTTTAAGATCAACCAGAGATTATGGACTGAAATCCTGGACATGCCCACCATTGCCCAAATCTCAGATGTATTGGTAGGTCATACCTGTTTAGTACTTAAGCCGAGAAGTCCAAAACTCACAATGTTACTTAATCTTCACAAAATGTGAAAATATGATATTCAGAGTGTTGATTCTCAGCAACAGTATTCAACAAAGAAGAAATATTCATTTTTTTCTTGAGTTGCAAATGTTACAATATATTTTACATATCACATTAAAGAAAACGGATGCTCGTTAGCGCGGCTTTCACACTAGGCTAGCAGTTTCTTGTTGCAAGAAAATGGATGAGCATCATGATCATCACATCAGAAAAGATTCTTCAAGTGTGGAAAGCATCCTCTTCCTTCTCTTCTACTGCCTTTACTCTTGGACAACATTGACCAGCAGCTAGGCAACAGCCCCCCCAAAAGATCCCTGCATCCATCATTCATATCTACTCTCTTAGAATTCACAGTTCTAAATTTTATTTTCCAAATAAAATTCACATCCCAATAATGTAAGCCAGAGGCATAAAGTTTAAAATTTAAACTATTTAACAAAAAATAAAAACAAAACCCTCTACACAAACATAATAAACAAACCATTATATGCACATGCTCTTAAAATTCATAACCCTAGAGCTTTTGTAAGCTGATTCTCAGATACATATATTAGGTTTGGTTTTCAATTAATCAGAAGAAAATCCCAAACTAAAATTTTGACCACCAATTAAAGAAAAAAGATCTCAACAAAAGGCCTCTACCCTCTCCACCATCATCACACATATTTAAAATCTGATATTTTATAAACAGTGCAGCAATTTTCCTTTTAATTCGATCAAATAAATAACACCAATAATAATATACATGGATGCATACCTCCTCTGGCTCTTGTTAGGACTGGTTCTATTGATTTCATCAGCATAAAACGTCTTCTTTGGGTAATAACCTTCGCTGACCCCCACCCCAAACAAAGGTTTCGGAGAAACTTTCGAAGAAAAAGAATTTGAAGAGAGCGAAGAATTTAAGTACTTTCCGCTCTGCTTCGATGAAAAAAAGCCAGGAAAGATGAACAACTTAACCATCATACCCTCTTCCACCAACCTGCCCTTCTTGTTCTTCTTCCTCTTGTTCGAATTCTTCTCGCTGTTCTCCTTGGTTGTGGGGCTTTTCTTTGAACTATATGGACTGAGTATTGGGTCGCGAGGTGAGGCTAGGTGGGGTGATGGAGTCGGCTCGACGAGGTCTTGGAGAGAGAGCTCGTATCCAGATTCAGGCATTCTAGAGACCAACTGCATCAGCTCTTTTCGGCTCGTGGCGATGGCTTGGGCTCTAGCAGATGCAGAGGCTGAGCTCCACAGAGGAGGAGAACACGAACCCCCTGACTCTCCTACTTCAACACTGCTGCTGAAATCGATGTCGTCTCGACCGCTGTCCTTGCCGGAATCCCATCGATGGGCCATTCTCTCTCTAAAACGAACTGGGGCGAGAGGCAAGTCGTCTCTGTTTCTCTCTCAAACTACCCACCGGAAAAAGAAGCTCAAACTAACCGGAAAAAGAAGCAAATCACTCTCTGAAACGAAAAGCGGAGAGAAACAAATTCTATATTTCGTTCTCTCCGAAAATATATGGAAAAAAGAAGGAAAAATTGTCTTCCGCCTCCTCCTTCCCCCTCTGTGTCAAGTCTCAACCAAGAGTGAGGAGCAAGGAAAAGAATTTTCCCCTTCACACTCCCATGTCATGTCCCGTCCCTGTGACTTAGGGGGAAGACTCTTAATTGCGTAGAGAAGTTGGGTGGGGCACGTGTAGCGGGTCAGTGGCAAGTCTTTTGTGCATTTAAGAACTACCCCTCATTTTTCCATATTTCCTTAAAGGATCCTTTGTTTTGTTTCCTTTTTTTATTTTTATTTCTTTGGAAGGTTGGTTTTACATGAGGTTATAAGCTCACTCTCAGACCATTCCTCACCATCTTTGTTTTTAACGGAAAAGTTTATATAGAGCCGAGGCTCTAAACAATCAAATTTAAACCTAAATAAAAAATTTCACGAGAAGAGGTTGTTTTGATGCTTAAATATCTCAAATTGATCATCTCGATATCAAGATGCATCGACATGGAAAAAAAATGGATTGCAAGTTTTGAAAATAGAGTATTTTGTAATACATTTTTGGACCGTTAATTTTCAAGATTTTCAAGTTTTTATAGATATGTCGAGCTACACTGTTTTTGAAACTTTAAAATTTATGGATAAATACGCAGATATATTTTAAGGCTATCACAAAGATTTTCAATATTGAAACTACATTTCTCAATACTATTTGAAGGTAGGCTCTAATTTGATTGTTTAGAGCCTAGGCTCTATACAAACCGTACCCCTTTTTTAAATCGGATTGTATAGAATGACAATAGCGAAATTTAATAGCTTGAAAGTATCATAAAGTTTGAAAAAGTTTATTTTAAAGTTTGAGCATGGTCAATGGAATATTTGCAGCCACACAATTTCATAGTCAAGACTAATGTGACCAACTCGTACTAAAGGTAAATAGACTATTTTTTTTTTTTTATGGATGAGGTTTCTATAAGGCCAAGCTTTATAAAAACAAAGTAAAGCTTCACCTCAAATCGTTGTCGGAAAAGTATTTTTGAAAACAAAAATATCTAGGATGACTCTAAAATCAATTTTTAATATCGACAAAAAATAGTCAATCTACATATACAATATATACTATTTTTAAAAATTAAAATCCTAATTTTTTTTTACAACCATAATGTCCAAGTCACGATTGAACCATGTAAAGGTTTCTCAATGCAATGCTTGACTTGCAATTTTCCATGACTTAAGTGAGGATTTACTTATTTTGATAGAGCTGCATCACTATCAAACAAGTTTCCTGTTTTTTTATTTAGATGATATACATTTGATAGATCTTTTTTTAAAAGTAGTGAAGCAGTACATCTGTCAAGATAGTTTCCATCCAAATAAATTACTGCTGCTTTTACATCTACAAATAAAGTTATATGCTTATATAAACTATTCTACTATTTTTCCTAATCTCATAATTTTGTTTCCATAATTCTTGATTTTGTTTTTCCCCAACAAAGCTTACATGATTTTGCAATGGGAACCGAGGTTTTAAAACTTATGCCCCAAATCGGTAACTCACCAATTTCGAGTGGTCAACCAAATCGGTGAAACTTATTAAAAGAATTTAATAAATAAATAATGAGATTGGGGTTTGTGGGAAACCAGATTGTCTATCCACCAAATCCAGTCTAGATCAACAATTCCCAAATCGGATCCTGATCAATCTTTTGTCATCTCGCTTCTATGTAATTGGGTGAATCACTACCTATATTTTTAAAATCATCGATCTAGATTGGGAATCAACATTTTGGGTACGAAAATCAGTGATGACCGACTTGTTTGATAAGTTTACCAAGTTTTGTTAGAGAACCAAGAGAATTTGTCAGGGAACTGAGCAATCTAGACGTGCTACATCATTTGGTTCCTACCCATTCAATTTTTTAATTTAAAATTAGTTTTTTTTTTAAATTGATTCTCACACCAGAGAATCGGTCCGATCTGGCCCAAATTGCAATTCAGATTGATCTAATGAGCGAGCAATCCAACTTCCAGATCCAGGCTTTAAAACATTGATCACCGCTAAGGCAAAAACTACAGCATAATTTGGACTTCATTAAATATATTTTGATGTGAATTTCTTTTTCTTTTTTTCCTAACATTTTCCTCTAAATCAAAAAATTAACAATAGGCTCGAGATGGTGCACCCAATAGATTGATAGATTTCAAACCATGACAGTGGATTGCTCATATTCACAAAGTAAATGCAGTAAGAGTGAAACCAAATTAAATGACATTGATGCTTCTTTCATCGGTTTATGTTCATATTAAACATGCAGCTCAACTGTCATCGTTATATGGGAGTCTTAACTTTTTCCCTCTTTGTTAACTGATATACAATCGTACTCGTCGTAACTCATAACATTCACACGAGTTTGAATGGTAACCCAAAAATAATAAAATGAAAGGCTTTTTCCCTCTTTTCAAACTTCTCGTCAAAGCTTTTAGTCCTAAAAATACGATGTAGGTAGGGATTCTTTGGTTTGCATAAGTTTTTGAAAACTCGGATGGGTATCGACTAAACCGGTTTTTCAATGGCAAGAGGCCCAGTTTGGTCCCTTAAAATTCTCACTTTTATATATTTTATATTTTTGTTGAAGCTTATCTGATGTTTTTTTGGGTCCCTTAAATCCCCATCCCCACAAACTTCTAGTTTAAGTGTGACACCAATAGGGAATAAGATGAGAGATAGTAGACTAAAGTGGATTGACTATGTGTGGCACTGACCAAGTACATCACTTGTTAGAAGGTGCGAGTTAGTTCAAGTTGAAATATTGAAAATAGCAAGGAGTAGAACCATAATGACGTAGTTGAAAGTAGTTCGAAAATATATAGCGACTTATAGCTTCAATTGAGGGTATGACTTTTAATAGAGAAGAATGATAGACCTAGATTCATGTAGCCGACCCCAATTAATTGGAAAAAAGCTATAATGATGATGAAATTCCTATCCCATAAACTTTTATTTTTATTTTATTTACTTTTAAAATTTTTTGGACCACCAATTCAGACCCATCCAGATAGGTGGATAGCAGATCCAACAATTCAATATAGATATGAAAAGTGAACTATCCACTCTAGTGATCCACGTTTTCAAAGACTAGTTTATATTCATACGCGGAGAGGTATTTGAGTACATTAATTTGGTCTAAGGGTCAAAAGAAATTTACATACGGCCCCAAAATAACCTCTGGAATTAAAAAGTATCTATAGTTTGGGCCATTTTATGTTGCAGCCCAAAGTTTTCGAGTTTTATTTTTATTACTGTCATTTTAATCTCAGCTTCAAATCCGATATTTAAACAGCCCAAAACACAATAGTATTTGTGTGGCTCCAAAGTTGGACTTTCAATAACTCAAAAAAAAAAAAACAAAAAAAAAAGTGTAGATAGCTCAAAATTGGAAATTTTGACCTAGGGCACAAATGTTGCTATTCTATAATTCCAAAACTTAATTTGGTCCAGATGTAAATTTATGTTGCTATATTAACAAGGAAAAGGACGACTATTTCACGAAAAATATTTTGAAGAAATACTAACAACAAGAGAGAAAAGTAGTGCTAAAAAAAATGGGGCTCGGATCGGGAATCAAAACTGGTCTCATTTAGGCCAAGTATTATATCCCATCCCCCCTCCCAAAAAAAAATCTTTTTTTTTAAAAAAATAATAATAATAATTCCTTTTTAATTGTCTGGGTGTATTCTATTGTTCAAAGCTCTTATAGACTTCTTTCATTTTATTTAAATTTCTATTTTTAATATTTTATTAATTCGCCTATCTGACCCATCTAAATCAACAATCTAAACTACCCAAATTGGGATCGATAGCTGTACCAATTAAGGAAATAAAATGAGAAAAAAAACATTTGTCAAAAAAAAAACAAAGGGAAAAAAGAAAAAAGAGGGGTCGATAAGGCAGTAGTCTCTAAGGCAGACGTAATATATAAGAAGGGTGCGGTTTCTATAAGGTTGCCATCTTAAACAATTCAAATTAAGACACACTTTAAAATTTTATCATAACATGTAATTTCGTCCTAAAAAATTTTTAATATTATCTTAAAATCTATTTTCATACCTAATTAGAAAATTTTAAATTTCAAAAATGGTTAAAATCAAGTAGATCTATAATTGTATGAAAATCTTGAAATGGACGGTCTAGATAATGTGTTGCAAGATACATTATTTCTAAGGCTTAAAAACTTTTGTTTTTTTTCATATTTATATATCTCAATGACGAGATGAACGATTAGAGGTTTTTTTTCAACATTAAAATAACATTTCCAAGAGATTTTTGAGATGCATATGTGACTCTACATTTTAATGTTGCAACCCTATATAAACTTTTCTCATATAAAAATAGCAGGCACCACGAAATGCAATGGAGCGATTTATGCGGTCATTGCTGACAAGAAAGTCAACACCTTCTCGAAGCAGCACTTGAATACACGGCTGCATGTCTCTATCCTTTTTATTTTATTGTTTTGTGGAGAATCCGTTCTTTGACTTTTTGACCCAGAAAATCCTCTCCCCTGTCACCATCCCCATCTTTGTGCTTGAAAACCGGCGCAGAAAAATCTCACCGGAATAGACGGTTACTTGTAATAAACTCACCGGTTGCAAGTGTCGAATCATCAATAAAATATTTAAAAAAAATAAAAAACAAAAAATATAATAAAATATATAAAATGCATTTAAAAGATGATTAAACAAAAAAAAACTTAAAAATTAATGAAAAAATGAATTTTAAATAATCGATTTGTGTAAAAAGGTATTTTTTTAAAATTTCAAAAAAGACGGAAAAATGTAAAAATAAATACTAATGGCCAAAGAATTTCCAATCTTTGTCAAAATGATGAAAAATATTAAAAAATACATTGCAAATAAAATCTTTTATTTTTTAGGATTCTATATAATTTTTGAATTTTTTTAAAATACCCGGCCGGTTTAGGCACTTGGATTTCGATCCTACACTGCTTAAAACCATTTGGTCCAATAAATAATTCAATGTATGGGAAATATCCTTTCGGCTTGTTTGGGCACTTGGATTTTGGGGCATGAATTTTTAATATCTTGGATATTACTAAAATTCACTGCTGGGTTTGCCAAAATATTAGGATATAAA